GTTAGAAAGAGGCAGGAGACAACAGGGATGCGAGTGTGCCTGGTTGGCCTCAAGTAGCAAAAATTCTGAGTATGTTGGTTGTGGTGGCAACTGTCTGGAGGATAAGTGAAGCCAGTACTACCTGTAAATTGCAAAAAAGACATCTTACAGTCTGCCCCTTGCACCACTGAGATCCATTTATGCCCTCCAATTATATCTGGTTCACAAACTAAAATATGGGAACAACATTTTTTGTTGTTGTTGTTAGAACAAGAGGACATCTTCCTGGAAAGTTGAGGTACAAGTTCAACCAGTCAGAGTCACTTTCAAGGTGCATTTTCCTAGAAGAGATAAGTCGGGAAGGTCAGTGAAAAGCTACTCCAGTCCCTGCTTCTGCAGTTGGTCCTGAGGCTGTAATTGAGATCTCTCATTTCTCTCTTCCACCATCCATTGTAGATTTCCTCACCCTCTGCAAGTACTCCCACTGGTATGCTTGCCTCGTGGGGTAGAACTTCATTCTGAGGATTTTAAGCCCTTTGTTGCCCTGTGTTACTGGATAATGGTTGTTACAACTGGTCAATGATGGTTAGTACTGGCTATGGAAATACTGAGAAGTCTTAGTGAGTATCTGTGGTCTTAGACATTGTGTAGAAGCAACCCTAAGTTCTTACGTTAATCAAGGTTCATCGCCTCAGCCAGTACAGTAACTCCTTTCTGCGATTGCCATGTCACGGAGAGTTCAAACTATACCAGTGGTAGGCACAGCTTCTAGCTCAGAGGAACCCCCATTGTATCCCATGGTAAGTGTTCCTCTTCTGGGAATTGGAACCTGTAACCCAACAGAGCCTCGGGTTGCAGCACTGAAAGCACAAATGCCCCAAGTGGGCTATTGAGTGTGATGTTACGAGGGGACGCTTGCATTCCTCTTTGTTCTTGGACTTTTGTATTCAAGTTATTGGAGACATAGGTCAAGTAGTACCTACACTGCATCTTGGAGGTCACAGTGTCAAATCTTCAGTGTAGGGCTACCCTCTTGGGTCCCATCCCTCTTCAGGAGCTTAGTACTATCACTTTACTATCGTTCAATAAATCTTGCTTTGCTGCCCACCCAAAGGAAAAAAAAAAAAAAGATCTTCATTGTATAGTTCCTGAGCTGACACCTTAGCTGAGCTTTTAACAGACCATTCCACTATTCTTTTGCTTGGCTGCTTCTGAGTGATAAACTCATTTGTTAGAAAGGCATGGATGATCTTAAAAATACACTCCTTTAGTCAACAACAAAATGAAAACACAAAACAGGGTGTGTCAATAATTTCACTAAGCCTAAGCTTTATGTGAAGCATCTGAATACTATATTCTTAACAGAGAAAAATATAATTTTAATTTTGGATGGAAACTTAATGATCAACTAATTCACCCATCCCATTTTACAAAAGAAAAATAGAGGCCCAGATGGAAAAAGTGACTTAAGAGGGACAACAGCTAATTAATGGATGAATTTGTTCTGCATTCAGGTTTTCTGATTTCTAGGTCCCTGAAAATTCCATTCTATAAAATCATCTTTTTTTTTTTTAAGATTTTATTTATTTGAGAGAGCGTGTGCATGAGCTGGGGGTGGGGGTGGGGCGGTGAGGGCAAATGGAGAGGGAGAAGCAGGCTCCCAGCGTGGGGCTCAATCCCAGGACCCCGAGATCATGACCTGAGCTGAAGGCAGATGTTTAACCGACTGAGCCAACCAGGCACCCCTAAAATCATCTTTTAAACAAAAAAAAAATGGGCTCATCTTTTGAAAATTCAGAGTGGATATTTAGATGCAAATTAGATTAGTTTCAAGGTTGCAATCAGCTTTGTTTATCCTTTGCCACAATATATAGTAGAACTGTATTTTTTATTCTTGGAAGTAGTACAATTTTCCATGGAGAAGCAAGGAAAACATTCATCTTCAGGCAATAAATACTTTCCACTCCTTTAGGACCTTGTTCAAGCCTCACCTCCTCCAGCAAGCCTTCCCTAAATTCTTTAGTTTATGGCAAACTTGTCTTCCCTTAATTCGCTCAGAAACTATTTGCCATCTTTTTGTTATTTTTACTGCAAAACAAGTTTTACAAGATCATAATGAAACGAATGAAAGGGAAAAAAATTCCTAAAATCTTGTCATTTCAACAAATTAAACAATTTTCATTTTTCAAAATTATATTAAGCATTTATATGCATATATAATTTGTATGACATTGAATATTTTTGTAATCATGGCATAGATAGATATTTGTCATCATTTCCTCATTTAGCAATGCATGATCACTTTTTCAAGTTGCTACATGATTTTCATAATTTTATTTTAAATAGCATTATTCATTGCTTTTGGATATTTCATAGGAATATTTCAATTAACATGTCTGAGTGGACTCAGCTTTTCCATTCAACATCATGCAATTTTAGGCAGAAAAAGTCAACTTCTTCCTCTCATTGCTATCCACTACTTCCATTCAGTTGAAAAGTCTAGGTTTTTTTTACTGCGTAAATATTTCATAGTGATAAACTCTTTTTTCCTACTTCATCACTGGCTTAAGCTTCTTGAGGCTTACCAATCCAATTGCAGTATGCTAGGACTGGTTACTACTAGTATGTAGCTAGTAAGTTTTTATAGTCAATCCTCCTTATGGATGCACAAGTAATCTTTCTAAAATAAAAATGTGATACTATTACTTCTCTGCTTAAAAACATTCAGTGACATGTATCAGATGACCTCACTGATATGAGGAATTCTTAATCTCAGGAAACAAACTGAGGGTTGCTGGAGTGGGGGGTGGGGTGGGAGGAATGGGGTGACTGGGTGATTAGACACTGGGGAGGGTATGTGCTCTGGTAAGTGCTGTGAATTGTGCAAGACTGTTGAATCTCAGATCTGTACCTCTGAAACAAATAATGCAATATATGTTAAAAAAAAAAAAAGATAGCAGGAGGGGAAGAATGAAGGGGGGGAATCGGAGGGGGAGACGAACCATGAGAGATGATGGACTCTGAAAAACAAACTGAGGGTTCTAGAGGGGAGGGGGGTGGGAGGATGGGTTAGCCTGGTGGTGGGTATTAAGGAGGGCACGTTCTGCATGGAGCACTGGGTGTTATGCACAAACAATGAATCATGGAACACTACATCTAAAACTAATGATGTAATGTATGGTGGTTAACATAACAATAAAAAAATTAAAAAAAAACATTCAGTGATTTTCCTTTGTCAGTATTTAAAACTCAGGTTATTTTGCACAAAAGTGTAGATTTCTGGTTCCTTTTGGGGGGTTGGATATCTGGCCACTGTGGGTCTGTATTCCAGCATGGCACCAGAAGGCTGAAGCTTAGTGGAAGCTGTTTCTATAGATAGGGCAAGTGCTGTCCAATCTGACATGGAGGTCCCTTCAATCTGTCCTGGCTCTTAGGGGCTTATGAGTGTGAGATCCTTTACTGTCCAGGCTAAAGCCTAAATTCCTTTGAATGGCACATAAGGTTCTTTATCATGGGCCCTGTTGAGTTCTTTCACTTTATCATTGCATTTATCAAGAAATAGAGAGTGGCTCCCAAATGTGCCTTGAAATGTCCTCTTTCTTTCTTCACCATTCTCATGTCTAAGGGAAGCTCTTTTTCTCCCTTCCAGACTTGGCTTCCTCGTCACCTCCTCTACAAAGACTGTCCTGATTTCTAAAACCTACCAGGTGGCAGAAAAATCTGGAAAGGAATTTTACTTCTCATCCTATTCTACAACTAGTTTTTTCCTGCTCAGGCTAGGAGACAGGGCAAGAAGCTTTCTCTTGCTGCTGCCTCCTTGCTCCTTCTCCTTCCCCTTTCTCTCTGGCTCTCTCCCCCGCTTTCTAATTCAGCAGATGTTTATAGGAGGGCTGTTGAAGGCACTGGCTGCTCAAGGGGATGAGTGAGGGTTCCTGCAATGGTAGGGTTCCATCCCTATAAGACAAGTGAACGTGTCACGGTGGCACCATGAGCAGGTGCTTTAAGTCAGGTACAGGCAATGTGCTGCAAATCGGTGGAGGAGGGAGTGTTTGCCAGCCCTCTTTGGCAAAGGCAGTGAAAGGTGATTGCTTACATTTTAAAAGATTTCTTAACAGGATGATGGAACTATTTGTTCCTCATAACTCTGTCTTATACCTTCTTCTCATCTTTACATTCTCTTTTTTGCCTCTCTAATGTTTCTTTTTAGAATGTGACAGTCAGATTGTCTGGTTTTGAATCTGACCCCATTACTTATCTCTGTGACATTGGTCAGGACCACTAATATTCTCCATGTCTGTTTCTTCATCTTCAAAATGAGAGGAATAATAGTACCTACATCATAGGACTGTTGAGAAAATTAAACTGTTGAGATATCCATGTAAAATATTCAGCATATTGCCTTACAAAAAATAAGCACTCAGTAAAAATTAGCTATTATTAATATCATTATTTAGTTACTCACATGCTCCCACATCATTTTCTGGGGACTTCCAAGGCTATAATTATAATAATTTTAGCTAATATTAAGTCCAGTGCAGTGGTTAAGTGTGCATGCTCTGAAGCCAGACTGCTTAGGTTCAGATCCATCACATCCTGCTTTATAAGTATTACAAGCTACTTACCATTTCTACATTTGTTCCCTCATCTTTAAAGTGGAGAAAATAATATTGTCTATGATACAGGATTGTTGTGAAGATTAAATTAGTAAATATATATAAGATGCTTAGAGCAGTGTCTGGTACATAGGAATTGCTGAATAAATTTTTTTTTTTCTAGTGGTACATTTTAATCAACATATTACATAAAAAAAGAATCTTGATTTTTTAAAGTGAATCACTTTAGTAGTATAGCATGATGGGTTTAATTTGAATGGGTGAAACATAATGTGGTAAAGACACTGTACTGTTTAAACCAATTCATAGCTGTACAAAAATGTCTGATTTTCAATATATAATGACTGAGGAGTTATGAGCAGTAAAATATTAGAAAACAGTGAATGAATAAATAAGAATAAGATGATTTTTTTTTTTAATCAGTAGCCATTCATTATTTTGTTTTTAGGAACCTGGAAGAAATTGTCTTCTTTGAATTTCAAATGTTCTGGTAAATCTAGTCGTTTCTTAGCTTCCTCAATATCAGCTTGAATTGCTGAAATAAGGGATTCTTATTTCTTCTCTTTTGAAGAATCGAAGTTCTTTTCTGGTCTGAGGTAGCTAACAATGGCCACATTGAGGATCTCCCCATAGAAGTCCTCTTTGAGGCACCTGCCGATCTCCTGCTCGTGTTCCCCTGCCAGTCCGGGGATCCGGGCACCGCTTCAATGGTGGCTTCACCGGACCCGTGGACCGGGTCACAGCCCCAGCTGCTCAGTCGTTAAGTGGGTGGCTCAGGTCATGGTCCCAGGGTCCTGGGATCGAGCCCCACATCGGGCTCCCTGCTCGGTGGGAAGCCTGCTTCTCCCTTTCCCACTCCCCCTGCTTGTGTTCCTGCTCTCACTATCTCTCTTTCTGTCAAATAAATAAATAAAATCTTAAAAAAAAAAAAAGAGGTCCTCTTTGAAGATATGCATTCTATGAGTTTCCATAGACTTTTTTGTATTCTTGTAGTATGGGTTCCATCCTATGCTCACCACCATCTTATGAACATTTCCATTTACAACACTGGCCCAACCATAATAAATGCCAGTGGATACATCAGCTGGAAGATTATCAGCTACTTGTTCTGGAAAGTTGGCTGTGGGGATGCCCAGCTGTTTGGAGCTGTGGCTGAAGCCCCACACAACTGCGGCAGAAGTACGGCAGGTGCCTCATGATACCACCCACTTGGGGCTCGGGCTGCAACCTGGTCCGTGGGTCCAGCCACCATTGAAGCGGTGCCCGGATCCCCCGGACTGGCCAGGGAACCGAGCAGGAGCTCGGCTGGTGCCTGAATCCCCCACCTCTCCCCATGGCCGGCCAGGAGGGTAGGCACTCAAGGGGCCAGGCAGGGCCGATGACACACCACGGTGAGTCCCTCACGCCACTTGCTGAATAAGTATCTTTTGAATTACTTATTTTTATTGAGCTGTGCTAAGAGTTTCATACATGTTATCTGTGGTGTCCTGAGATATCGTCTCAATATAGAAGTGTAATAGTAAGTCTTACTGTACAGATGAAGAGATAGAAGCATGGAGAATTCTAGTAGTTTGCTTAAGGCACGCACCTGTTAAACGAGAGAGCTAGAACTTGGAGCCAGTTACTTCTGAATCTAAAGCCTGTGCCCTTACTGTCACTGTCCTGAGTGCCAAACACACACACATTTCCCTGTCTAGGAGGCATCTCCCAGAGGTTGTCTCATGGGCACTTCATATCCAACATCTCCAAAGCCAACCTCATTATATTCCCCTCTGAGCCTGCTCCCTCCTCAGGCCCACTGTCTTTGTAAATGGGACCCCCTACTCTCCAGCTGTGCACGCCAGATAACTAAAGACGACAATTATACTTGATTGTTCCTCTTCATCCTCATCTCTTCAATCAACCACCAATACCTGTGGCTTCCTACTCTGAACGGTTTCTTGTATTTGTCCATTTCTTTCTGTTTTCACTGCTACCACCCTAGTCCAGGTTACTATCATTTCTTTCTGAGTAAATGTAATTATCTTCAGATTGAGCTATATAATTGCTTAATGAGACACAGAATATTATTTTTACGTGGTTTCCTTGTAAAGCATGCTCTATCTTCATTGGAAGAAATGATTGGGACAGAGGACCCCCAGTACACTCCCACACTTGATTCATATCACAGGTTAGGATATTAGGTGATACCAAGGTATGGTAGGGCAAAGGAAAAGTAATTTTTTTTTATGAGCATAAGGGAAAAAATTTGTGGTCAAATACCCCAGTAGAGAAGAAGAGAGAGGATAGAAAGAAGAAAGAGAAGGGAGGAGGAGTATGGGTGAATAACCAGAAGATGATATGAAGATGAGGGCCAGTGAAAATTCATAGCATGGAGAGCCAACAAATATTTTTTATTTTTTATTTTATTTTTTATTTTTTTATTATGTTATGTTAATCACCATACATTACATCATTAGTTTCATTTTTTGTTTTATTTTGTTTTGTTTTTTTGCTTATAAACAGTAGAGAGTTCTAGGGAATCCGAAAAATAGCAAAATAAGACACACAACCTGTTATGGTTACAGATCTGCGTTAGGCAGTAGTGTTCTTTCTGGAAGGCACAAACTGGAAATCTGATTACCTAAAGGTTTAGAATATGGTTCTGAAGATGTCAGACGGCAAGGATAGCTAACTTGGAACAAATTCCCTTAACTGGAATTAACACCAATGCATCAGACATTACTTTGAGGTGATGACACTCAGGAAGTTAAGAAATCCTCTTTGTTAGCCTCGTGGCAATTTGTGAAGGCGCCAGGCCAGGTGTGGGCCGGGTGGCTGCACTTCAAGTTTGGAGTGCTTATGACATTACAAAGGCACGTTGCCTAGAAATTAAACTTTATGGTAACAAACAGAAAATAATCAGTTTAGACAGAACAGTAGGCGAGCTCCAGACTACAGCAGGTTCTAAGTCAAATGTCTTGAAGAGCTTTCTTGAATGGCAGGCTGGGGCTGCACTGGTTCTTCACGGGGAAACATTCCACACAATGATGATGATGATGACCACAACGACAATCCCTATCACCCACATCTTGCAATTCTTCCACCAATATTTTCTCTTCAACTTGGCAGCAATTGTTTCAAACTGGGACGCTCCTGCCTTCAGCGGGTCTGCATGATCGTCTAACTCCGAGAGCTTCTGATCTCTTTCCAACACATTGTCCACATTGACTTTCATGATGTCCACCACCTCATCTACTTGATTTTGTGTCTGCTGAAGTCTTCGGTTGCTGCCAGAGGCAGCACTTGAACCTGCAGGTGCACTTGTAGACATTTTGGCGACAGTGGGCGACAGTCCTACATCATTAGTTTCTGATGTAGTGTTCCATGATTCATTGTTTGCGTATAACACCCAGTGCTCCATTCGGTATGTGCCCTCTTTAATACAAATATTTTTTAAATGCTATAGCTTATGTAGCATTATTTTAAGCATCTAGGGCTTAAAAAAACCAAAATGCTATAGCTTAATTGTGACTCTTATTTGCTTTGCTGTGAAGTAAATCCTTCCTTTTTCCTCTTATAAAATTTTTCAAAATCTTTTAAGAATTTGTAAGGGTGTATCTGTTTTGGGGCAAGTGAACCTTGTTTTATGACTATGTTAATGTAGTATATCATAGAGAAACCATGAGCCCAGAAGGCAGAGCTGGCCATGAGCAATAGGCCCATGGAAAGTTCCAGAAGCTGGAGCAGAACTTTGGCCTTCTGTTAGGTCATGGAATTGTTGAGAGCTCAAGAAAATTATTCCTAGATCTCCAAAGAGACAAGGGTCTCCAGCTGACATCTGATTTACATTTGAACCTACATAAAATTGGTGCTTCCTACATGACAAACTGATATTCTGAGAGAAGCATATAAATCTAGTGTTTCTTTTCTTCTTTGTGAAAATACAGCCAAATTAACTTTCGAATTCAGGATTGAACAAATCAGAAACTGATTTGGAAATGTCATTCCAACAGTTGGATTTTATTCACAGCTCTGCCTTTTAACTGAATTCCAAGAGATTTGCCAATGGAAGTAATTGAACTTCTCTGTGACCTCATGTTTCTCATCAGTAAAATAAGGGATTTAGGTCAATTGTTGTATTCTAAACTTTGATCCATATATACACGTAACAGTAGTTGTGGGAATTTCCATGTTTCTGTCCATAGGTACAATGACTATATGTCCGATTTATTTCATATAGGCCCAGTTTATTCCTGTGTCTGGTATAATAATTAAAAGTGCCCCATTGCACTCTCAAAGATGTCCAGTTATGGATAATAACACTATAATTACCCTATCAAAAGGAGTTCCTTGAATAGAAAATTTTAGGTTAAATAATTTTTTTTAAAGATTTTATTTATTTATTTGACAGAGAGAGACACAGCGAGAGAGGGAATACAAGCAGGGGGAGTGGGAGAGGGAGAAGCAGACTCCCCATGGAGCAGGGAGCCTGATGTGGGGCCCGATCCCAGGACCCTGGCATCATGACCTGAGCAGAAGGCAGATGCTTAATGACTGAGCCACCCAGGTGCCCCTAGGTTAAATAATTTTAAACAGGTGTCTTAACTGCAAAACTTTGCAGATTCTTTAATATGCTAACATGTCTTATGATTCTTGAGAAGAGAGGGGGTATAGTTTCCAGGATTTTGGCTTTGTAATCCTTATTTTGCTTCTTCTGGGAATAAGTTAATGGAACTTATTTTGGGAAAGAGTATTAAATCATCTTAATTCAATAAATACTTATCAACTATTATGTGCCAAGTCCTAGAAGGGCAATGGAGAAATAGTGATGGATAGAAAACCTAAGTTGGCCCCAAAGTAGTTTATGGTCTGAGCCATAAATGAGGTGAATGGCAGTGGGAATTAAGATAACACACAAAGAACTGCAATTCAAGGTCACATTCTAGTTTTAATATTTTATGATGATGCCATGTAATTAGAGACCAAGATAAAACAGAAAAAAGTCCAAATCCTAAATGAGTGGTATAATCTGTTAGCATTATGTCAAGTGAAGGTTTCTTTCTTTCTTTTTAAAAATTATTATTATTAATATTATCTTCTTGCTCTTGGGTCCACATTTATTAGAACCCGGAAGCCCACCCAGCACCCCTCCTCCTACTCCTAGAGGTGTGGCCCCAAGGGCCTAGTAACCTCTCTAGAGCAAACAGCCCTGCAGTTCTACTAGGGCCAAAGCAAATAAAACAGTCAGTTTTCAGGCAGGTAGGTGGCTCCTCCCAAGCCTATACAGCTCTGGTCTGACTGCATATTCTCCCCAGGGCTTCCAGCTCACCAGCTCCATTCCAGCACCGCCTACTGCCCCCCTTCCCCACTCCCCAAGCCCAAGGGCTTCCTTGTGCTAGGCAAGCAGAGGCTGTGAGGTCAGAGGGGGAGACTGGGTCTGAATGCCTTTCCCACTGTGGCCTCCCAGGAGCCTAGCTGCTGAAGTATTCCTGCTGGAACTTCTGGAAGTCTTCCTCAGTGAACACGGTGCCCTCATCCGCCACCTTCTTCTTCATCTTGGCCCTAGGCTGGTCACAGGCCTTATGGCCCCTCTGGCACACAATCTGCTGAGTGACCAACTCAGCCACCATGCTTCTTACACTGGTCATAAACTTGAGGTTTACTCCGAGGTAGACTTGACGCTCTCACATCAGGAACTCAGCAAGTACCAGCTCGGGCACATTTCCCTTGGCTGAGTTCCATGGTTTCTGGGCTTGGGTTGCATTCGCTTTCCTGGTGCGCTTCACCAGAGCCCTGCTGGGCTTGGCCTCACCTGGTTCCTGGGGACTTGGCTGCCCCCTGCAGCTCCTAGTCCTGCTGCAGCAAGGCCAGTGCCATGGCTGCACTAAGCTTTGCCCACATGCCCATAAATTATTATTCTTAATTCCACTTAGTTAACAAATAGTGTTATATTAGTTTCAGGTGTACAATTCAGTGATTCAACACTTCCAAACATCACCTGGTGCTCCTCACAAGTGCACTCCTTTATCCCCGTCACCTATTTAATCCACACCCCCCATCAGTTTGTTCCCTATAGTTAAGAACCTGTTTCTTGGTTTGTCTCTTCTCTTTTTCCTTTGTACATTTGTTTTGTTTCTTAAATTCCACATATGAGTAAAATCACATGGTATTTGTCTTTCTCTGACTGACTTGTTTTGCTTAGCATGTTGCAAATGGCAAGACTTCTTTTTTATGGCCGAATAATATTCCATTATATATATGTATATATAATGTGTATATATACGTATATGTGTGTGTATGTGTGTGTGTATTTATATATATATGTATATATATATATATTCCACTTCTTCTTTATCCATTCATCTACTGAAGGACTCTTGGCTGTTTCCATAACTTGGCTATTGTAAATAATGCTGCAATAAGTACAGAGCTGCATGTATCCCTGTGATTAGTGTTTTTGTATTTTTGGGGTAAATACCCAGTAGTGGGATTATTGGATCATAGGGTAGTTCTATTTTTAACTTTTTGAGGAACCTCCATATTGTTTTCCACAGTGGCTGCACCAGTTTGCATTCCCACTGAGAGTGCAAGAGGGTTCCTTTCTTTTTCTCCATATCCTCGTCAAAACTTGTTTAAGAGAAGGTTTCTTAGACTCAATGCTGAATGAATATATTTGCTAAATCTTTCAGAATATTCATATAGTGGTCCAGAGAACGAGTATTTTCATGACTATGCAGACCTCTTATTTTAAGATTCGGAGTCTTAACAGTGTCCAGGAGGAGATGACTGGTAGGATTATTTGTAAAAAGATGTTGGAAATACTACTTTATGGAAGGACCTTGTGAGTAAAGACTGTGATTAGAGACTTGCCCAGAGATTAGTTTTCAATAGAATTGTTAAGTTTCACAACAATAGTCAGCACTGAGTGGTAAACATTCACATGTTAATTTTTTCATATATTAATTTATTTATGCCTTAAAACAATCAGATTTTATTAGTAGTCCCTCTTTACAAAAGAAAAAGTGAAGCCCAGACAGGTTGAGTAACTTACAAAGTTTGCACAGCAGAACTAGGATTTGCATCCAGCCTGCATCCTTCTTCACCACTAAATGGCAGCAGGTATGTGTGTGGCTGACTGTGTGTGGGTTTCAGTGACCTCACCGTAGTAGCCTAAAATCAGTTATGGTGAGAATATTTACACCACAGAAATCAGTAAATGCTACAAATTGTAGCTTCTCTTCCCCCACCTCCCGAACCCCGAGCTGATTGTTAAACATTTACTAGCACACTAGTGGTTGCAGACACATTTGGAAAGCTGGGATTGAGTACTGCAGGTATTCGTTTGGGGAATTGTTAGTGCTGTTTGAATGTTGTCTTGGTGTTTTCATCAAATGAGGATCCATTTTAGTCTGAGTTGGAAGAGGATATACAAAATGAGAGTTCTCATGATCATTAAATAATGGGATCTGGGAATCTTTTCAGAAAATCAAGTGCTCTCTGCAGGTATTTCATTTCAGGAAACTCTGGGAAAGAGTTATTGTCCAACCACAGTTCTGCTTATGCTTCTTCTGAATTTCTGAAACCCATTATTTGCATATTATTTATCATGGCAGTTACACTTGGAATTCATATTCTAGTTATTTGTGTATGTGTATTTTCTTCCTATTAGACTACAAGATTCACTCTAGAATCCATGTCGGATCAGCACTACAATCCCAGAGAGCTCCTAGTAGTGTTTTCCAAAGTGAGTTAAATGTTGACTGAATTAATGACTTTTTTTTCTGTTTCAAACACTACTTGATGATTAGGTAGAATGGTAAAGGAAACAATTTAAGAAAACACATTATATAACTGAATCATAAAGATTTTCTCACAACAGACAATCCAATCTATTAGTCTATTGAAATCATGGATGCATTCATGATGTTTATTATTTTATATTATTTTATACTCGAAGATGTAACTTATTTATAATTTAATTTTTTTTGTTACAAGTAGGATTAAAAGACCGACTTTTTTGTTTTAAGACCTGTACTAAAGTAACTACTGGTTTGTGTTTGTACATCTAGCTTTAAACCAGGTTTTTTCTTTTTTTCTGCTCTTTCCTCCTGTTGATTCTGATCTCACTAGTAGTTTGCAAACCATTTTTCCCTCTAGGTAAATAGCCCTTTTAAATGTATTTATTTATTTTTAAATATTTTATTTATTTATTTGTCAGAGAATGAGAGAAAGAGAGAGAGCAAGCAAGCAGGGGGAGCTGCAGGCAGAGGGAGAAGCAGGCTCCCCACTGAGCAAGGAGCCTGATGGGGGACTCAATTCCAGGACCCTGGGATCATGACCTTAGCCAA